GTGTGTGTGTGTGTGTGTGTGTGTGTGTATGTGTATGAGTATGTGAGAGTGGTGGTGGTTTGATGGTATCCTGATCCTCTGGCCAAGAAGACAGTATTTATTTCTAAGTTTTTGCCATCTGCAGTTCTGTAATTAGAACTTCCGTAGGCAGCTTAGCAAAACCCTGTCTCAAAATAAAAAAATAAAATGGCTATGGATGTGGCTCAGTGGTTAAGCACCCCTGGGTTCAATCCCTGTACCAAAAAAAAAAAGTTAAATGTCATATTTGCTGCTTATGTTTTTTGTTTAATGCTATTACATCATGCCTTTACTTTTTCAGTATACTTAGGATAGTAATCAAATTCTTATGTATAGTAGTCAAATTAATTCTTATACTGTTAAGTGTGTTTAATATTGTGACTTAGTTTGAACTGAAGTTTATCTTTATTCTAACTAGATTTTGAGAAGATAACATTAAAGACATAAATAGTGTAAAAAGTATTGCAAAGGATTATAAATAATTGAATTGATAATTTAAAGAGTTGTAGAGTATCGATAAGCTAATTCATTTTGCAATTTGCAGTTTTTATCTGTTTGTTAAATTAGTTTCCCTAGGATTGACACAATGTACGAAGATGCTTTTTTGAGTAAATACCTGATAGCTGAATTTCTATGAAAAATTGCATTCATCACTAAAGAAGACAAAAGCAATAAAAATAGATTTTGTACAGCAAGAGGAAAATGGAGTCAGCCAGAAATCAGGACAATGAGGAGTAAAACAAAACAAACCTCATTGCAATTATGATAATAAAGTGTCTCAGAAAAAGGCAGAAACATTCTGATTGGATTAATGACAGCAACTATGTGCTATAAGAGCTATCAAAATGACACAACTTAAACACAAGATTGAGGAAAGATATATGAAATAAACAAAGCAAGAGTGGTATGTTAGTATCAATGTGGATATCAAAATAAAACTCATTCAAAGATTGGAAGTTATATTAGACTAAGTTCTTTATTAGAATCTAATAAAGATTAGAAGTATTAAGGTGTATAAAATAAAACTATTAGTAATATACTTGTATAATATTTTGGAAAGCAATTCAGGAATATTAATTGATAGTCTTAAAAATGCCTACTTCTAGAGTGCTGGGAATGTGGCTCATTGGTAGAGAATTTGCCTCGTATACAGTAGGCCCTGGGTTCAATTCCTAGCACTGCCCAAAATAAAAACAAACAACCCTGCTTCTAGGAATCATTGGGAAATGTGCATTAAGATTCAAACATTGGGGCTGGGGATGTGGCTCAGCGGTAGCGCGCTCACCTGGCATGCATGCGGCCCGGGTTCAGTCCTCAGCATCACATACAAACAAAGATGTTGTGTCCACTGAAAACTAAAAAATAAATATTAAAAAATTCTCTCTCTCTCTCTCTCTCTCTCTCTCTCTCTCTCTCTCTCTCTGTCTTTTAAAAAATAATAATTATAATCATCTTTAAAAAAAAAAAAAAGATTCAAACATAGATGCTGGTGTTGTGGCTCAGGAGTAGAGCATTTGCCTAGCATGTATGATGCCTGGGATTTCATCCTCAGCACAAGGGTAGAAGGAAGGGAAGGAGAGAAAAGATATGCAGCCCCACAGTGGAGAACATTAAATAAATTGTGGCATATATGTTCAGAAAAACATGTAACTTTTAAAAAATTGTACTTAGGAACTTAATGATAAAGAAAATGTTTATGATAAGTGAAAGTATGTGTGGACTGTATTATATAAGCTCAGTTACGTAAAAATATGCTTACATAGAAAAAAAGACTAGATGAAAATATGCCAGGATATGAATAATAGTTTACAATTGATAATATTATTGAGATTAACTTGGCTTTTTTGGTTGTTTTTTTTCCTGGTTTTTTTTTTTTCAAGACTATCTACAGAGGACTTATGTTTCTAGTGATAAAGTAACGAAATGGATTGTAGATACAGTTTATGATAATATTTATTCTACTTAATTTATCTTTTAGATTACTATTTAAATAGAATAGGCTTTATAAATTATTTTAGCTTGGATGATCAAATTTACCCTGGAAGCGAATTCATAAGTTTAATATAAACTCCAAATTATCTAGACATTAAAAATACTTCCAAAATTAATTTTAGAATAATACAATTAAGAGGGCTGGGATTGTGGCTCAATGGTAGAGTGCTCACCTAGCATATGTGAGGCACTGGCTTCAATCCTCAGCACCACAAAAAAAATATATAAATAAAATAAATAAATTTAAAATAAAGATAATGTGTCCACCTAAAATTAAAAAATAAATATTAAAAAAATAATTCAAATAAGAAATATAGATGTACTCTTTGTATTACATTCATTTTTTTTTTCTTAAATAGGGCTTTGCAATTTGCTGATGTGATTGTGTTATTTGGTGCTAGACTGAATTGGATTTTACATTTTGGACTTCCTCCAAGATATCGGCCAGATGTGAAGTTTATCCAGGTACTCAGAAAAGATTTCAGAACAGAGCTGTCTGTGGCTCATCGATCTTTCTCTCAGCCATTATCAGATCTGCTTTCTTTTTACAAAGGAAGATTTTAAAAAATTGTCTAACATAATTAAAGGCCCTAAAGTTATCTGCCTTTTCAAACCTCAACATCATGTTCCAGTTTACTTCTGACCAGAAAACTTTTCAAAATAAAGTTTTGAAAAGCAAAATCCCAGTTCAAGTATATTTAAAGGTTGAGAATCGAAACTCAAATAGGATGGTAGATAAGAATGAAATATTCAGCATTGTTATGGAGTGAGTTTTTCTTTTAGAGCCAGAACTTTCACTCTTTGGTTAGAAATCTCTAAACTATTCTGCTTTTACCTATGTCATTAAACCGTGTCTGAAAAATACTCTTACCTCTTTTTGATTCTTCTATCATTCTGACCCTCTTTATAATCCAGTTTCTATGCTATAGGAAGAACTACCTATCTAGTGACATGAGTGAGCTCTGTTTGCCCTAAACAGATTGGCCTCATTCCATTTAATGTTTAATGACTCAGCTTCAATTATAATTTTCTCCCAGCCTGCCATTCATTTTTTTAAATTTTATTTGTTCCTTTTAGTTATATATGACAGAACATATTTTGACATATTTGCCATTTACCTCTTAAGGAGTCAGTAGTCCCTCTTGCAAAAGCCATTTTTACTTGTTCCTGGCTGTCCAGAAATGGAACCTCTGAGTAAAGGGAAAACAATCAGGCCATGCTTTAGGAGTGTTTCTCGGAGTGTGTTTCCTGAACCACCAGCATTTGCATTGCCTAGAAAACCTGTTAGAATTGCACATTTTTGTACCCCATCCCAGACTTAATTAAATCAGAAACTCTGAGATGGACTCCTGCAGTGTATGGTTTAACACATCCACTAGGTGGTTCTCATACATGCTCAAATCTGAGAACCTCTTCTCTAGATTGGAATCTTAAGTGTATTTCATTTGAACCTTATTATCAATTAGATTCAAAAACTGTAATTGATCAGCACAAAAAATTCCTGTGGGTATAATGGGACAATAGAATTCCATAGAGAAGATTTTAAAATGAGAAAAGATGAGGAGGTTCTCTATACTAGCTATGATACTTGGAATAGTTTTATGGGTTTTTACTTTTATTGAGGAACTTTTTGAGTTGAAATCAAATTTTATCATATATGTACAATCCATTTATTCAGCTTTAATTGACTTAAAGATTTTGAAGAATAAACATGACTTGTTCTTCAGCCTTTGTTCTCTTTTAGGTTGACATCTGTGCAGAAGAATTGGGGAATAACGTGAGACCTGCTGTGACTTTACTAGGAGACATAAATGCTGTTACTAAACAGGTAGGAGCTTTTGCCTGGATTTAGTTTATGTGGATTGAAAAAGTCAGTTCTTGAAAATATCTTGATTACCTTGGTGACAGGTCTGTTAATATCTATTTTAAGCAAAATTTATGATGGAAAACTATTCTTTTTCTAATATTTATTTTTTAGTTGTAGATGGACACAATCTTTATTTTATTTATTTATTTTTATGTGGTGCTGAGGATCAAACCCAGGGCTTTGCACATGTGAGGCGAGTGCTTTACCACTGAGCCATAACCCTAGCCCCGGAAAACTATTCTTAGTGTAACTGTGAAATATGTAAACTTTAACTTCTTGTGCATAACTCATTTTCATGTAAGTTAAACATTTTAGGAAGGTACTTTAAAAGTACCTTAAAGTCATTCAGTAGGAAAACAGGGATTTATTAAGTAAGATCCGGCTCTATACACTGGAAAAAAAAATTAGGGTGTATTTTGTTTTTGTTTTGTTTTATTTTAGTTAATAAAGAGCTTTTTACTATCCCAAAGGCCTGTAATCAATGACTTGTCCAGGTTCTTGTTATTTGTATATAACATATATTCCATTGTAACAGGAGATAAAATATTGTCACATTTACTACTTGATTTTAGAGAATATTTGTTATCATAAGCACCCAGTATTAAGATACATCTCCAATCACATATGAAATCACTGTGGAGTCTGTATCAGAGGACTCTGGGTATTTACCAGCCTTCCTATAAGGATTCTAGGTAGGGAGTTGTTTTCCTTCAGTGTCAAAGACTGAAGAGGTTTAAGAGCCCTTGCCTGTGAGATGTGGAGGAGGTGGCACCTCACTCTGTCCTACAGAAATCCCAGCATCTGGCAGAAATTCACACTGACCCAAACAAAAGCTTACCATTTTACCCATTTATCAGTTGTTTTCTGCCTAGAAGAAAAGCAGAATATGAGCAATGTGAATGGTAGAATTGCATAGCAAGCAGTGTGTCTTCTTTAAGAAGAGATTTTAATTTTAATAGGTGTAGGTGGTCAGGATGCCTTTGTTTTAGTGTTTTTTTTTTTTTTTAATGTGGTGCTAAAAAATCAGTGCCTCACACATGTCAGGCAAGTGCTGTGCAACTGAGCTACAGCCCCAGCCCAAGAAGAGATTTTTATATTTATGTGATTTAAATTTATTTTCAAAAAGGAAAGAAAACTTTTATGTTTTTCTTTTAGCTTTTAGAACAGTTTGATAAGGCACCATGGCAGTACCCTCCAGAGAGCAAGTGGTGGAATACTCTGAGGGAAAAAATGAAGAGCAATGACACTGCATCCAAGGTAACATGGGACCCCCTGAAAGTCAAGAACACCTCAGGTTCATGGCTGACTTAGTTCTGCCCTAAGTCACCATGCTGTGCAGAATCATAAATGAAAACCACAGGGCTTGGAAAAAGGGGTTAAACTCACAACTGTAAAAAACTTTGTGAAACAAAAATAAGGTAGGAGGAGCCTAATACAAATGGTAGCAAAGTTTTAACCATGTTTATGTAATAGATACATATATAAATATGGGTACTTTGCCTTGAAAAAGACATGAAGTTTCTTGTAGAATTGGACATCATCTTGGCTTGCAGCTTGTCAGTTACTGTGAAGTGGTAGAAGGAGGGTGAAAGTTATAATAGCAGATGCAGGTGGATGTGGCTTATTGCCCCTCAGTTTGATTTTGGCACAGAACATCAGTTTAGTGATCTTTTGAAACCTTAAGTCCTGGGGCATGTCAAGGCTTGGTTTTCTGCCTTTAAGTTACAAGTCCTTTAAGGCATACAAACATAATAGATAGCTGTTTCATTAAAACTGAAAATTTGATCCACATATTGCCTTCTTTTTTATTTAACTTTCGTATTGCTGCTGAAAATTCTTCTGTGGTTTTCTTCTCTGCACTGATAGTTAATGCCTGACAGTGAAGGCTTTGGAAGGGAGTCTATATATCCATTACTATCACTAAAATGAATCACTTCTTCTGGATTTAGTGATTTCTGTTTTAAGTGTTTGTATATATGGTGCTTATTCTTTGATTATGAAATAGGTTGTTCCTGAAGTGTTCACTATTTTATGTATTCAAATGTGTCTTGGTTCAGCTGGGTGTGGTTTTCTGTTTACCTAGTGTTTCTTGCTGGTGGAATCATGCATTAACACATAACACATAAGAAAAGCAAATTAGGGCTGGGGATGTGGCTCAAGCAGTAACGCACTCACCTGGCATGCGTAGAGCGCTGGGTTCAATCCTTAGCACCACAAAAAAATAAAATAAAGATGTTGTGGCCACCGAAAACTGAAAAATAAAATATTTAAAAATTCTCTCTCTCTAAAAAAAAAAAAAAGCAAATTATGCACATTTAATTCCCTAATATGTTCATGGTCTTGGAAAAAATTCACATGTTCAAAGCAAACAGAGCAGAATTGATTATACCTGATTTTGTCTTACATCGGAATTTTAATCAGTAACTATTTCTCCTATCAAGAACTAGTCTCAGACCTATTTTCTAAACTGTGTTATAACTAATCCCTTCTTTTCCCTAGGACTCTCCATAATTTAAGATGAATGGAGCTTGACTCTCTTCTCTGGTGTAGGAGTACAGGAAGGTCCTTAGTCCATCTTGGTATAATCTCCAACAGAGGATGGTAGCCCAGGCAAAGAGGTAGTGTTAGGGACAGATGAAACTTGCTGCTAAAGGCCAGGTGGCTTTCTGTCTGCACTAGAAAGCCATATATACAGAGGCATTTGTAGCTTGTGATTTTTGCTTGTTGTTTTCCCCCTCCATTCAGAACTCTATAATGGTGGATGTAGTACATCTCCTTTAGTCTCCAGTGTATGGGGCAGAATCAGATTTTAGCATTGTCTTCTGTATTCCTAACATTTTATTTTTAAATTTAGTGCCATATTTTAGATGAAAATATTCTGGAATAAAAATTTTATAAATAAAAAGTTTTTGTAAGGCAACATTATCCTAATAGTGCTTAAATAAGATTGTTCAGGTTTTGTTTAATTCAGTGTATCTTAGCTATCTTTAATGTACAACTTCTTAGAGTCTTTAATATGCTCACCTATATTGTGGCTCTCCAGGAAGAAGAATATTCCCTGGTTTATTTGATTGTGTCCCAAATTGGGACTGTGGGACACATTTTTCTTAGCATATTGTCACAGGTTATTTAGCTCCTGAAGAGTTGCCATTGTACAGCCATTTGGAAATTGGGTAGCCTCTAATGATTAACTAACTATTTCCAGATAAGTTTGTTAGTAGATTATTGATAATGGTTATTTTCATTGTGTCCCAATCTAATTTAGAGTATATTTCCTTCTACTGTTTTAGGAATTAGCTTCCAAAAAATCCCTGCCTATGAATTATTACACAGTATTCTATCATATTCAAGAACAACTCCCCAGGGACTGTTTTGTGGTAAGCGAGGGAGCAAACACCATGGACATTGGACGCACTGTGCTTCAAAACTACCTACCTCGTCACAGGTAAGACTTTTGAGAAAAAAATTATAATTGATTATGATGTGTTTACTTTGAAGCTATCATAATGTAGATTAAGAAAACATTTTAGGGAGGGCAATGAGGTAGAATAGAGGTACCATTCATTTGCCTGCTTCTCCACCAGATGGAACCAAAACAACAGGTATATAGCTGCATATTGAGGTGGGTGGCCATGGGAGAGCACTGGAGTTCAACAGTGGAGACAGACCTAGTAAAACCAGGTTTTGGATAATAGAATATCAAGAAAAACAAAGCATCCCAGCATTTATCACATGGCAATATGACTTGAGGAGGGTTGGGGGAGTATATACCCTTAGCAGAGGTATAGGTAAAAGAGAATCCCAGCAAACTATTGATGCAAAATTTAAAGCCTCACAGAAATAGTCTAAACAGATAAGAGACCTGGAATCAGCATGGTGAACTAGCTTTGGAGAAGGAGTTCACTGCCTCACCCAGCAAATTCTCAGGGTGCTATAATCAGGAGCCATCTTAAGAAGGGTCCTGTTGGCTGAGCTTTTACTGCTCTGGGGGTCAGAAATCCCTGAATCTTCCCATCTCCAGGCCATTCTACTGCATTACCTCACAGGTGGCCACCTCATAAGACAGTCTTGGCTCAGGAGAGTGACTTTGACACAAACCTGCTGAGGGTTCTATCGTGGGAAATGTAGACTGTCATACAGAGAAGAGCAAAAGGTGCTTCCCTGTAAAATCAGTAGTTCAGGGAACCTGCCCTCTGAGCGTTAGAGAGTGAATAGATGTGTGTTTCATGAGGGAGTCAGGACTCAGGACATCAGAATCTTGAGGGTTTACAGATCTTTGTAACCCTGTTGCCCCTCTCATCCTTCAGAGGTGATGAGAGACACTGCAGCGCCAACATTTGACTCATAACTCTTGGGAACACTGTACCTATGAGGGTTCCCTGGATCAGAGGCACTTGTACCCTATCAGATTATTCATTGCTAATAAGTGAATATGATGCACAGGTGGGGGACTTTGATCTTGGCCCATGCCTCTCCCTATGAAGCACCAGGAACTGAGCCAATGAATGAACAGAAAGCAAGAACTTCATGCCATTCACTGTGATTGGAACAACAAGTATCAGAGTCTCTTTTTAAGTAACAGATCCAATATCAACAGAGCCTGTGGGAGCCTCCATCACCTGAAGGGGGCTTCTACTCCCATGGTTGGAGTAACCACAGAGGGCACACCCCACATATTCTGCTCTCTATACCACACCTGACTGAGTTCCCAGAGGACTTATACTCTTGAAAGACCTACAGAAGCAGTGGGTTATTCAGAGTTCCTCAGAGTCTGATATGGTGTGCACTGTGTCTATACCTACTAATCACAGCCAATAAACCACAGGGAGATTACACCATGGAATCCAATTGAAAATAAACTCAACTTTACACTACAAACCAGTACCTAAGAACACAGCATTAAAAGAAACCTGCTTACTAAGAAAACCAGCATATAAATGAAACAGAATCCATCCCAATAGATGTGTAAATCTTAACATAGAAACACAAGACATATGAAAAATAAGGTAATATGACATCTTGTAACATTCTTAACTCTAGGAACAGATTCTGACAATGTTGATGTAGATGAAATTCTGGATAAAGAATTCTAAAGAATGATTTTCTGAAAGCTCATTGGAAGTCTAGGAGAATAGATAAAGAGTTGAATGAACTAAAGAAAACAATGCAGAATAGGAACTGGAAATTCAGTAAAGAGGTAGAGATTCTGAAAAAAGAATCGAACAAATATTTTAGAAATGAAAAGCTCAGTAAGTCAGATAAAAAAACTCAATTAAAGCCTCAAAAACAGATTAGATCAAATAGAAAAAAGAATATTGGAGCTTGAAGACAAGTCTTTCAGTATATTATATTTAAATAGAAATTTTAAAAAGAATAAAGGAAACTTACAAGATCTCTGAGACACCATTAAAAAAATCAAACATCTGGCTCAAAAGTATATCTGAAGGTCAAGGGCATGAAAAACCTGTTTGCTCCAATAATAAAAATTTCCCAAGTGCTGGGAAAGAAATGAACATTCAGGTACAAGAGGCATTTAGAACCCAAATAGAGATAACCAGAAAAGAACGTTTCCACAATTTATTGTAGTTAAACTGCCAAAAATACTGGCAAGAGAAGGAATATTAAAATCTGTGAGATGTTCCAAGTCACCTTTAAAGGTAGACCATGAGTCTAAAAGCAGATTTCTCATCAGAAACTCTGAAGGCCAGGAGGGTACAGAATGACATATTTCAAGTCCTGAAAGAAATTAACTGCCAATCAACATTACTATACCCAATTAGGCTGTATCTTTCAGAATCAAAGGAAAAATAAAGATTTTCCAAGATAAGCATAAACTAAAGGAATTCATGACCCTAGACCAGCATGATGCTTAAAGGAGAGCTTTTGGTATGATATGTTCTGCTTTCATTTTTGTTTGATTCAAGGACTTTTTAAATTTGTTTCCTATGCCCAGAAGAGGAAGAAAGATAAACACCATCATGAGAGTATGAGAAAGAATACATCCCACTAAAAGGGTAGCTATGCCTATGAGACTTAGGAAAGAATCAAACATTATCAGTAGAGTAAACCATCAAACTTCAAAGATAAATAAGAGAGGAGAAATAAACAAAAATTCAAAACCACCAGAAGACCCAACAAAATGACATGAACAAGTACATACCTTTTAATAATAACTCTTTTGTTTAATTGAGGTTGAACACAATACCTTTATTTATTTATATGTAGTGCTGAGGATTGAACCCATTACCTTACACATGCTGGGCAAGTGCTTTGCTGCTGAGCCACAACCCCAGCCCCTCATTAGTAACTCTTAAATGTAAATAGTCTGAATTCTTCAATTAAAAGACAAACTGACAGAATGAACTTTTTTTAAAAAATTTTTTTAGTTGTAGATGGACACAATATCTTTATTTTTACTTGTTTATTTTTATGTGGGGCTGAGGATCAAACCCAGGGCCTCACGTTTGCAAGGCAAGCACTCTACCACTGAGCTACAACCCTAGCCCCCAGAATGAACTTTTTAAAGAAGACCCAGCAGTGTGAAGTCTACAAGAAACTCACCTCACCTGCAAAGACATACACAGATTAAATGGATGGAAAATGATATTTCAAACAAATAGAATCTGAAAGAACGTAGGAGTGGCTAAACTTATAGCCAACAAAATATTCTTTAAGACAACATCAGAAGAGACAGAGAAGGTCACTATATATAGATGAAGGGAACTATATATGATGAACTGTTCATTAAGAAGATATAATAATTATAAATTTATATACACTGAACATCAGAGCATTCAGCTTTATGAAACCAACTCTACTAGACATAAAGGGAGAGGTAGGCCCCAAAACAATAATAGTGGGTGACTTCAGTACTCATTCTCATCAATAGGTAGATGGTCCAAACAAAAAAGTCAGCAAATACCAGTTAAATTACACTAGAGAACAAATGGACTTAACAGGCATTTATAGAATATTCCATCCAACAGCTGTAGAATGCACATGGAACTTTTTCTAAAATAGTTCAGATATTAAGACACAAAGCAAATCTTAACAAATTCAAAAGAATGAAGCAATATTTTGCATTTTCTTCTTCCATCATAATGGAATGAAACGAAGTTAACCAAAAGCCAGTATATGCCTATAATTCAGCGACTCAGGAGGCTGAGGCAGGATGATTATAAATTCAAGGACAGCCTTAGCAGTTTAGTGAGACCCAGTCTCAAAAAAATAAAGGACTGGGTACTGTCAGGGGTAAAGTGCCCCTGGCTTCAACTTCAAGTAGCAGCGGGGAAGAAATCAACAACAAGAGAGACAGGAAATTATAAAAACCACATGGAGATCGAACAATACACTTTTTGATCAACTAGTAGATAATTAAAGAAGTAAGAGGGGACATTTTAAAATTTCTTTGAATCAAACAAAAATGGAAAGAACACTGAAACTTGTGGGGTGCAGCAAAAACGATTCTAAGAGAAAAGTTTGTAGCAATGAGTACCTATGTTAAAAAAGAAGAAAGATCTCAAATTACATTATGGTCTCAACACCTTATTTTTTCCAAATAAGAAAAAAAAATTCATATCAGCAGAGGAAAGAAACAGTAAAGATCAGACACAAAGACCAGTGGAAAATAGAGAACTCAAGTCAGGTGCCATGGTACATAGCTGTGATCCCAGTGGTTCTGGAGGCTGAGGCAGGATCATAGCCTCAAACCAAACTCAGCAATTTAGTGAGACTGTAAACAACCTAGTGATAACCTGTCTCCAAAAAAAAAAAAAAAAAAGTGTGTGTGTGGGAGGTTCTGAAGATGTGGCTCAGTGGTTAAGCACCCCTGGGTTCAATCTCTGGTACCAAAAAAAAAAAAAAAGAAAGAAAAAGAGAACCCCAAAATTAAACCCATATATCTACAGTCAACTGATTCTCAACAAAGATGCCAAAAGTGTACATTGTAGAAGGTACAGCCTCTTCAGCAAATGATGCTTGCTGGGAAAACTGGATAGTCACATGCAAAAGATTGAAATGTGTTCCCTGGCTTTTCCCTTGCATAAATTTCAACTCAAAATGGATCAAAGATCTTAATGCAAGACCTGAAACTTTGAAACTACTGGAGGAAAGATGGGGATACTGGCACAATTAACAATTTCATGAATAGGACTTCAAAAACAAAAGCAAGAATTGACAAATGAAATTACATTCAGTTAAAAAGCTCTGCACAGCAAAGGAAACAATCAACAGTAAAGAGAGAGCCTACAGAATTAAAGAAACGGAACTAAACAGAACCAAAAAGACTTAACATCAAAAGAACAAGTAATCTACTCAAAAAATAGACAAGTAATCTCAACAGATACTTCTTAAAAGTACAAATGACCAAATAGCTACATGAAGAAATGCTCAATATCTTTAACCATCAGGGAATACAAATGAAAGTCACTTTGAGATTCAACTTTAGCCACGTCAGAATGGCTCAAAAAAAAAAAAAAAATCCTGGTGAGGATGTGGAGAAAAATAAACCCTTATACACTGTTGATGAGATTGGAAACTAGTACAGCCACCACAAAAAACAGTATGGAGGTACCTCAAAAATAAAAAATAGAGCTTACCATATGATCCCACTCCTGTGTGCATACCTGAAGAAATGAAGTCAGCATGCAAAAGCAATATGTGCAGCATGTGCAACCTTTCTTTATCATGGCACTATAAACGATAGCCAAGTTATAGAATCATTGTAGGTGCCCAACATCAGATGAATGGGTAAAGAAAATATGATAACTATACACTAGAGAATATCATTTAGTCATGAAGAATGAAATCCTGTCATTTGTAGGAAAATGGATGTAACTGGAAGAACCTGTTACATGAAATAAACCATACATGGACAATTATCTCATGTTTTCTCTCAAATGTAAAAACATAAAAAACAAGAGAGAGATGACCTGAAAGAAGAAGAGGGACTGTTAGAGAAAAGGAGAAAGACTGAGGGCAGGGAAGAGAAAGGAGGCCAAAGAGGGATGGATGGACACGATATATGTGTGGATAGAAATGTCACTGTGGATTCCATTAATTTGCACAACTAATATGTGTTAATCATGATAAAAATAGGAAGTCATCTGAATGTTGATGAATGGAAAAATAAGTTAGCATCTCTTGATTTGATACTCCTTTTTTTCTTTTTGTGGTGCTGGGGATTGAACCCAGGGCCTTGTGCATGAGTCAAGCACTCTACCAACTGAGCTATATCCCCAGCATACTTTTCAACAATTTAAATGAATATACTAAAGGTACTTGAGTCAGCATGAACACATATCAGAAATGTAATGTTAACTGAAATAAGGTACAGTCTAATGCCATCTATATAATTTTAAAATAATACCAAATGCATGAGATTAATAAACACCAAATTTAAATTAGTTATTACCTGTGGAGAGGTAGGGATACAATAGCACCTGGGAGAAGTACAGAGGAGGCTTTAACTCTTCACAAAATTCTACTTCTTTACAAACACAACTAAGGGATGAGGTGGTGGTTCTCTGGAAGTGGAGTGTCCTCTGGTGCCCAAGGAGGCTGATCACTGGTTGCTTTGGAACCCCACTGGTCACCAATGCCCACAAGCCTCATTTTCTCCAGGACCAGCCTACCCCAGAGTGGGTTCCAAGTCTGTTCACTACTGGACTGGTGAGAGTGTTGTCAGTGTTTTGCTTCTGAGCCTGCATCCAACTGCTGATTTTAGTCCTTGCTCTCTGATGATCTCCCTGGCTAAAGCCTCCACTCTCCATGTCAACTAGGCCTTGGACAAATTCTTTCTGACAATGTCATGGACTTACATGGCAGAAAACTGCCAAGGCAGGTCTTTTGACACTCTCAGCTTTAATCTTTGCTGGGTTTTGTTAATTCCAACTATGCAGTGGATGCTCTGACCTTTTTAACTTAATACCTTAAGAATTGATTGTGGGTCTGAGGTTGTAGCTCAATGGTAGAGTGAAATGTGGGGCAGTGGGTTCCATCCTCAGCACCACATAAAAATAAACAAAATAAAGGTATTGTGTCCATCTACAACTAAAAAAAAAATAAAAAGGAATTGATTGTTCACCTCCTTTGCTCTGTCATTGCCATTTGACTGGCAATAGGAGGAAATAACAGAAAAGTCCAAGTTGAGACAAATCTTCTAATTACAGTTATTTTAATAATTCAATTATAAACTGGGACTTAATTGTCAAATATATTTTTGTTACTTATTCTAAAATAATCTGTCTACAAATATAAAAGTGTAAAATAGTGTAACTTTTCTATTGTGAAAATCTCTAAATGAAACTAATCTATGAAAATAAAATTTTTAAGAAGTTAAATGCTATAGAAAAAAGTTTTAGAACTGTATGTGTTTATAGTATAAGGACATATAAGTGAATTCTTGGTTGAGTTTTTACATAGAGATTTTATGCTTGATTTATGATTATCATGTGACAATTTACATGCTTATTGTTCTAAGGATATCTTTAAAGTCCTCTGAGCAATCGTGTGGCTTTTTCTTCTCATGTTCCTTATTCTTGACAAATCAGTTCCTTCTAGTCAAAAACTTTTATATTAAAGAGAATATTTTTATATTTTCTTATTTTCCAATGAGCCATGTAAATATAACTAGAAGGTTTGTGCCAATGCCACCTTCTATGACATGCCCCAGAGATTTTATTTTGGCTTTGTTCCCCAACAGGCTTGATGCTGGTACTTTTGGAACAATGGGAGTTGGTTTGGGATTTGCTATTGCAGCTGCTCTAGTGGCTAAAGATAGAAACCCTGGGAAAAGGGTCATCTGTGTGGAGGGAGACAGTGCCTTTGGGTTTTCTGGCATGGAGGTGGAAACCATCTGCAGGTAAGACACAGTCCTGCAGCAGAGCATTTTCTTCTCCTAAATGTGAAAATTTACACATAAGACCCCCTTGCTTGACAGTTTCCAAGTGTTCCCCATATTGCCAGGTGCCCTGAGCATAGCACTGGTAGGTAACACAGTGTAAATAACCTGCAGAGTGGTGAGGTGTAGTTTTGAGGTCACTGAAAAAGAAAAATGGGCCTGAGAGAAGCTTGTTTTCTGCACTAAGATAGAGCCTGGTGGTTAAGAGCATAACCTCTGGGTGAGGTGGCCTGGATTTCAGTACTGGTTCTACTCTGTCAGGCCAAGTGATTTTATTTGTGTCATTTAACCAAGCCTCTCTCTTCCTCTCTAAAATAGGAGTAGGAATAGCAATAGTTCCTGCCTTAGAGAGTGATTGTGAGGAAGAAATGAAATAATCAGGGTAAATTTTGAAGTGATGCCTAGTGGATATGAGTCATTCAGGTTATATTTTCAGTCATGAGGAATCATGGAGAAACTCATGAGTTGTGGCTCCTACTGAAGGATTAAGGGGACCCCCTATCCCCAGCTATATTTAAACTGTAGTAAAGCCATTCGGTTCTTAGGACTCTTATTAGGACTTTTGTGAACATGTTTTGGGGCTTTTGCTTTTCTTTTTGTGGGTACTGGGGACTAGACCACTGAGCCTCATCCCCAGCTGTATTTGTATTTTATTTAGAGACAGGGTCTCACTGAGTTGCTTAACACCTCACTTTTGCTGAGGCTGGCTTTGAACTTGAGATCCTCCTGCCTCAGCCTCCCAAGCTGCTGGGGTTACAGGTGGTGCCACTATGCCTGGCTTTTTGGGGCTTTTGAAGCTTTGGTATATTAAAACTTTCAAGATTGGGGGAAGATACTGCCTGTTAGAGTGTCAGTATTGGCAACTAAGTGACACCAAAAAATTGATTTATGAGGAGTCAGCTTTCTGGAGAGTAACGATTCCCTTTTAACCTGGAGAGCAAATAGTTGCCACAATCCTATAGTATAGCAATGTGTGGTTCAGTTTTGGCTTCACTGCCTATCCTAAGAAATTAATCTGTTGGAAATAAAACCCCTATTCTTTTTCTGTAACTAATGAAGTTTAATCAGTTGTTTGTTTTGCTTTTTTTATTGGTCTCTTTTCTTCGTTGAAGACATTGCTAGACACTCTACTGATTACAGCAGCTGAAGCATCTCTGATTACAGGTAGAAGTGTGAGCACAAAGTGACTCTGCCAGTTGCTGTGTGCCTCTCACAGCATCTAGGAAGGACTGGTTGTCTGTGAGGAGCTCAGTGAATAGAAAGGCATTTTCTAAACAGTATTCCTAGCAACTTCTTCAGAAGACATGCTTCAGAGGATATTAAGTAGAAAGGTGTTGCCCATGTGGTGGCACATGCCTATAATCCCAGTAACTTGAGAGGCTGAGGCAAGAGTTCAAAGCCAGCCTCAGCTACTTAGTGAGGCGCTAAGCAACTCGTGAGACCCTGTCTCTAAATAAAATACAAAACAGGGCTGGGGATGTGGCTCAGTGGTCAAGTGCCCCTGAGTTCAATGTCTGGTACCAAAAATAAAGTAGGAAGGTTTTATTTTTTTTCTGCCACTCTATGATGTTTCTGTTGATGGTGTAATATTCTTTATTAGGATAATAAATGCTTGGTTTTTAGTTTTCCTCTATTATTACAAAATGCCTATAGAAAACTGATTTTTAAGTTAACATTTACACCAAAAGAAAAATTGAAGAATGAGTTCCTTCTTATTTTGTTCTCATTTTGAGGTACAATTTGCCAATCATACTCTTGGTGGTGAACAATAATGGAATTTACCACGGTGTTGATAAAGATTCTTGGAAAGAAATGTTAAAATGTCAAGATGCTACTACAGTGTAAGTAACCCAGAACAGTGTGTATTTGCTTTCTCTCATCTCTCTCTCATTCTCTCTTTAAGAGTTTGCTGTATTGGAATGTGCTTATGTCATGTGAATATTGTTTGTTTCTATTGTCAGCCCCTTTAAAGGATAGAAACCCTGCCTTCATTGTTCCTCTTTGCACAACTCTCTCTGATTAGTGCTTTATAAATAGTTTGTAGCTGATGAAGACTCATGAGTGTATGTCTAAGCTTTGCTAATGACGGGGCTTATTGCAAGGTCCCCAGTCTTAATGTTCCTACTACACCAGGGAGGGACATGGATGTTTACAGATTGTTTATGATCCAGAGGTCTTCCTTCCTTTTACCATTTGGATAAATCTTGGTCATCCGATGGCAGAGCCAAACTAAGACTGTTACAGCTGGCTATGGGGTGGGTGCAAGATGTGAATTTGTGAGCCAGCCAGGATGTTTGTTAATGCCTCCCAGACTTCATGTGCTGCTTTGTTGTTGTGCTGTGACCATTCCTTTCCCTTTTGGATTCTAATAGTTGAAAGTGTAGTCTCGGCTATCTGGCATAGTAGCCACTAGCCACATGTTGCTACTTATATATTGTTAAAATTAAATGGAACTAAAAATTCAGTTCTTCAATTTACTCATATTTCAAATGCTTACAGCACCAAGTAGCTGGTGGCTGCCATACTGTCTGTAAAACATTTCCATCATCACAGGAAGTTTTCTTAGATATTTCTATAGACAATAAAAAAAATAGGGAAAATTTCATGTTCTGACAGCTTAAGTGTCAAGATCAAAGGGTTAGATATAAAAGTATGCCTTTCAGCTCAGCTTCAGTTTTTTCACTGATTATTTCAGAGAATTTTTTTTTTTTCCTAGAAGCTTTAAGGTTTAAATTTCATTGACCCATAACGTCTTTTTCAGGGCCCCTCCGATGTGTCTCCTGCCAGACTCACATTATGAACAGGTCATGGCTGCATTTGGAGGTAAAGGATATTTTGTACAAACACCGGAAGAACTCCAAAAATCCCTGAGGCAGACCCTGGAAGATACTACTAAACCCTCTCTTATCAACATTATGATTGAGCCACAAGGCACAAGGAAGGCCCAGGTAAAAGCATTTGCTAAGCAGAAAGCAGGAAATGCATCTGCTCCTTCCTCATCTCCCTCCAGAAAGGAACACTATTACCCAGAGTTCTTTATAAACATGTCTGAGTTTGGCAATTTTATCAAATGTTCAGTGAATATTTGCTGAGATATCTTTAGGTGTACTGTGTTAGGAATAGCGTGGTGAGCAAAACCAGGCTCAGTCTTCATCTCCATGTAGCTTAAACTGTTTTGCAGGGGAGAGGACAGTCCAATAACCTCACAGCTGAAGGTTGCATGATCCACCAAGGTAACTCAAGAGGAAAGGGAGCCAGTTCTAAGCAAACACACAACAAAGGAATCTGATTTATATTGGAGTTATAAGGAAGGCTTCTGGGAGGAAGTGATACTTAAACTGAGATATGAAGGATGAATAGGGAGAATCTGTCAAAGAGGAATGGAAAAAGATGTGCAAAGGCTGTGTGGCAAGAGGGAGCAGGCCATGTCTGAGCAACTGCAAGAAGGCCAGAGCAGCTGGAAAGGAGAATGGAGTACGCACAGTGGGAGATGAAATTGTAATAGGATAATTAGTGCAGTAACATCCAATATTAGTTACTTTGACCTCTAAAGCAAAACTACACTGTAGATTATAGCAGTAATATAATGCCAGTGCTACATGATTAAGTTGCTTTTGCTCTTGGTTTTTCACGTTTAATTTTGCCCTCTGGTCCTGTCACTCACCTGCTCTTATACACATGTCCTCCATGTTTCCACCTGGTATGTCAGCCACTCTTTTCAGAACAGATTTTTTTTGAGTGCTTTCTGTCTTGGTTCTTAGACTAGCATCCACTGTAGAATCTCTTCCTTTGTTGAACAAGGCAGAACACAAAGAGATATCTGGACGATTAATGAAATATAGGGAACTAATTTAAAAACTTAAGATATGTAGAATTGTTTGTGTAAAAACAGACATCAGAGACTGGAATTTACCTTATAGCCAAGAGACGGGATATTCAAGGTGAAGTCTGGTAATGAGGAAAGTGAGCACAGACAGGTTGAGTCAGGATGGGGATGGGCAGGTAGCATTAGCACGGATTTCTGTGGAACAAGAAGGCAGACTGTTTTGAGATTGGGTCAGCCACCTTGAAAAATGTACCCCTGTGGGCTTATTGATTGCCTTTTCTTTTGTTTTCTGGTGCTGAAGATTGAAACCAGGGCCTTATGCATGCCAAGCACATGCTCTACCACTAAAGTACATCCCCCTTGCCTTTTTTTCCCCTTGAGTTCTATTTTTTGAAGTGATTTTTCTCAGCCAGACACCCAGTGGACAGGTTCTTAAATCATGACATTTTATTAATTTATAACTGGGTATATACTTTCCAGTGACTGGGATGTTAGTTTTGTAAACCAGGATGCCCTTTTCCTGGCATCAGGGCATCAAAGTACTAGGGAAACTAAAGCCACTGTAAGACCCTGACAAATACTATCATAAAAATGGCCTTGATCTGTGTTAGTCATGGAAGAGCCTGGTGACTTGCTTTCTTTCTGCTAGTGATTTCATCCTTCTAAAGAAATGCTTCCAGTGATCCATTCTATTATTTTCTCTGTGAATTTTGTTCAGGTATTTCTGGGGAAGTTCTTATCCTTGTCTTATAATTCTGTGAGGATTATCCTTATATATCTTGCATTTAATCACTTCTGAATTATCTTCCTTTCAGATATATATATATATATATATATATATAAAAAAAAAAAAACACACACACACACACACACACACACACAACACACACACAACACACACACCATAGTTTTCATGTTATTACTTTTCAGTGATGGTCCCTTAGCCGTTTACCACTGAGTCACAGTGTAGGCCTGCTGCTTCCTGCTTTAACATAGGCAATATCTACTTCTCTGCAGTGTCCTGTGTCCAGGCCACAAGTGTAGGATGCTGTTAGTCCTGGAAAAGGTTTCCATGCATAGTTCTTTTTGTCCTTGTTCTCAGACCCTGTAGCTCAGCCCTCCATGGGCCTCCATCCTCTCTTCTCCTCCTTTCAAGTTATTTCTGCTTCTTTCATTCTCAAGTTTGTTATGCCCTGATTGCAGTTCGAGGAAGAGGACCCAGAAAGCCATGTTACGTTGTTTGTAGGGCCAGGCAACAAGGTTCACTAGTGGATTGTTAGCTCCTTTTTGGGAAAGCACTAGATCAAAGACAGACCTCATTGATAAAAGTCCCTTGTGTGGGACTTTTAAATTATAGAATAAGCAAAACAGAGTACAGTTTGAGATGAATTATTTCTTCTGACTGAATGTCTTTTCTTTTCTAGGATTTTCACTGGCTCACCCGCTCTAATATGTAAATAAAGATGCCAGTAGGTGTTCTTGAGGGATTTTCTCTTTCCTACAAGGTTGAATTTTGTTTTCCACAGCAAAGTTACTACAAATGTAATGGTGCAAAGAAAAATAAAATAATATTTTAAAATAACATTTTATAATAAAGGAATTAATTAAATACAGAAAAGTTACATTGTTTGTTTCAATTTCAATCATAAATGTCCCCCCAAGATCTGTATGTATACTCAATGCCTGTCACCAACCTGTGGCACTGTTGGAAGGTAGTAGAACCTTCAGGAGGTGGGGCCCAGAAAAAACGAGGTTAGGTCATTGGGAACTTGCCCTTGAAGGGGATATTGGAATCCCAGTCCCTTCCCCTCCTCCGCCTCACACTCCTGCCGCGCTGCTGCCTCACAACAGGCCCAAGGGCCATAGGGCCAAGTGATCGTGCACAGAAACTTCTGAAATCCTGAGCCAAAATAAATCTTTCCTCTTTTTAAGTTGATTTTCTTAGGTATTTTGTCAGTGACAGAAAGCTATCCTAGTATATTCTACCACAGAATTAATAATTTACAGGTGAAAGAAGAGGAAGGGTTCTACAATTGCATTGTAACTGTCTCAACTGCTGATTTACACATCCGTTTTCTTTTATGTAAACCATTCTGAAAGTTAAACTTTACTTTGTAAAAACCTTTGAAGAAAAAAGCTGTTAAGAATTGTCTAATATGGGCTGGAGTGGTGGCTCAGTGGTAGGGTATGTGTGAGGCTCTGGTTTCGATCCTCAGCACTCCATAAAAATAAATAAATAAATAAAGAGATTGTGCCCAACTACAACTAAAAATTTAATATTTTTAAAAAAGAATTATCTAATGTAAGCTGGGTGTGGTGGCACATTCCTGTAACCCCAGCAGCTTGGGAGACTGAGGCAAGAGGATCAGGATTGTGAATTCAAAGCCAACCTCAGCAAAAGTGAGGCGTTCAGAGAACCTGTCTCTAAATAAAATACAAAATAGGATTGGGGATGTGGTTCAGTGGTCAAGTGCCCCTGAGTTCAATCCCTGGTACTCACTCCCCAGAAAAAGAGTTGTCTAATGTAGAAACATGTTCAGTAAATAGGGGAGCATAGGCTGTATTTTATGTTTTATCTTGTGATGACTTAGTACCTTAGTTTTTACTGGGACTTGTGCTATATTTGAGTTGTTTTTCTTTTGTTTTTCCCCCTGTAAAGAACTGACTGAAGAGCTGAGGTTGTGGCTTAGTGGTAGAGCAACTACCTAGCACATGTGAAGCTAGGTTCAATCCTCAGCACCACATAAAAATAAGTAAACAAAATAAAGGTATTGTGTCCTTCTACAGCTGAGAAAAAAAAAAAGCAAAACAAAAATCTCACTGAGCCACAGGAGATATAGAAGCACACTAATAACTGCAGGGTATATTTGGACTAGCCACCTCAGTTTACACAGGCCACATCAAGACCAATAGAGGTGGCCTTAATGTGCAGTCATGCACCACATGACATCATTTTGGTTAGTGACAGATCATATATATGACAGTGGTCCCAAAGATAATAATGAACTAAAAATTGCTATCACCTAGTGCATCGCAGCCATAGTAGCTCAACAACACAAGGTATTACCCTTGTGTTTGTGGTAAAGCTGGTGTAAACAAATCTATACTGCCAGTTTAATAGAAGGATAGCACATAAAATCATATATACTGTAAAAAAATCATATATACTATGTAATACTTGATAATAAATGTTACTGATGTATGTATTCACTCTATATCCTTTTTATATGTGGGTATGTTACTAGGGATGGAACCCAGGGGCACTGTGCCACCCAGCTATATCCCCAGCCTCTCTTTTAATTTTATTTTGAGATATGGTCAAGTTGCCCAGGCTGATCTCAAACTTGCTATCTTCCTGCCTCAGCTTCGTGTTGCTGTATATACTTTTATCAGTACTTTTAAACTGTATTCCTGCTTATTAAGAGAAAGTTTGCTGTGCAGCAGCCCATACATCTTGTATTTCCTGAATCTCTGGACTGCACCATTTTCTCTTGTACTTCATGTAATCTCGCGTTGCGGTGCTCATTGTAGCCTCAGGAGCCAAGAGCTGTACTCCACACACAGCATACAACCTAAGTGTATAGCAGGCTATTCCATTTAAGTGTGTGTAAATACACTATGATAACTGCATAATGATGAAATTGCCTTAATGATGTGTTTCTCAGGCCACATCCCATTGTTAAATGGGATGACTATATAAAGAAATATTGTAAACTAGGCACAGTGGTGCACACCTGTAATCCCAGCAGCTTAGAAGGCTGAGGCAGGAGGATTATAAGTTCGAAGCCAGCCTCAGCAAATTGGTGAGATTCTGTCTCTAAATAAAAAATCAAAAGGGCTGGGGTTAAGCACCCCTGAGTTCAATATACGGTACCAAAAAAAAAAAAAAAAAAGAACTGTTGTAAATAGGAAAAGTTTTAATGTACCAGTAGAAAAAAAGGAAAAGGTCCCAAAAGATCACAGAGGTAACAGTAAAAATACAAATGGTAGTGAAACGTGAGTCTGAATAAACATGGATATGTTATATATTCTGAAAATCAGTTCCTTTGGCCTATCCACCTGGCCAAGCACTTTTTACATGATTTAGTTCAGGTAAGAGTGAAGTGAAACGGAGACTCCTGTGCTTCCATTGGGAGGTGAAATTGGTGCAACATTTCTAATTAGTAATTCTAGGAGAGTTTGCCTTTGGAATCTTAAAAATGTTCATACCTCATGCCTTTTGACCCAGCGAGTCTACCTAGGGAATGGATCCTAAAAAAAATAATAAAATGTTTGATCAGGTACTCTGGGTTCAATCCTCAGTACCATCAAACCAAAATGAAAAACTTAGTGGAGATTTTTTTTTTTATAGTTACTACACACGTGCACCTTTGAAGTAGCTCAGTTTATTATATGAAACGAACACCTAGATAATGGGGGAAACAGTACATTCCGGTGAAGAAGTGGCCTGGGACTGAAATAAATGGAAACATTTATTAGAGTGTCATATGATTGTATGAAAAGTTAGAAACCAGTTGAATTCCAGGTGGGAAGTGTGACTGGGGAACCCTGATAAAGCTGATGGCCTTCTGCTGTGGAGAGTGAAACAGAGCTGGAATTGGAATCATCTGGTGTCCAGTGGTTGCATTGGCTGCTACGAATCTGAGTAAATTGAATTATGTGGAAAGAAGAAATTGACAATCCTATAAATCCTACCCTTACAGTAATTGGAGATAAAATTAGGCCTTAGACTCAGCCCTGGCAAGCAGGGCTGCGTGTACCCCTGGATTTCACTGAGTAATCTTGCATATTCCCTTCTCTTCAAGGCCTTTCTGTCCAGGAGAGGGGCCAGCTGATCAGCAAAGCCAGAGCAAATCCAGGTTGTATGGTCTCCCCTCCAGTTAGGGAGCAGAGAAAGGCACACTTGGAAACCTCTGGGTCAAAGTTTGAAGGGATCGCTTTAAGGGACTCAGGACCTAGAAATATGCACAGAAATGGAAAAATCCATTATTTTTATCTTTTGTGGATAGAGCTGGTCTTTGGAACTGATTCTACAGCCATGTGGTTTGGCCCAAGGCTCATTCCCCTGGTCCCCCTGCCCATTCCCAGGAATGGCCTCCCCACTCTATGTTCATGGCAGGTTCAGAAAGTCAGACCCAGTTTCACCTTAGCCCTGACCTTGCTCCTGCTCTTTCTGCTGGGGTGCTCTGCATGTCCTCATACATTCTCACCATGTGAATCCGCTCCCCGCCCCCAAGGCCCAGCTCCACAGTCCCTTCTTCCATTGAAGTCATCTTCCCTGCTGGTTCCCCTGACATACCCTGTGTGCACCTTTGTCACTTACAATATATGATATTCGTGGTGAGTTGAACTCCCATCTCCCCCACTTGTGAGCACCTGGGTAACCCAGATACCACCCACCTCACCCCACCCGCTGCCAGCCTTCCAAGCCTGCACCTCTTGCTCTTGTTTGGCCAGTGCCTTGGGGAATTCTCCCCTCAAGAGCCTGCTTCTGCTTGGCAGATTACAGTACCACATCACAGAGATTATCCTGGGGTGGAAGTGATCTAGGAGGGCTTTTCTCACTCAAGGCACAGCAGACAACTTTAACCAAGATGTAGGGTGCACAGATGAGCCACCAAGGGTCAGAAACCCAACCCAATGCCTATGTATTAAATAAGCCCAACAATTCTTAGAGCAATGCTGGGGATGGGGGTTGGAGACCTGGGGCCCTGAAATGATTGAAATTTAGTTTCCACCCTGGCAGAATGGAAGTAAAAATTAAAAATAGATTCAGTTACCGAAAATAATTTTTCCTTTCAGAACAGAGTGCTGTGGACTGAGATTCATGTCACTACAGTCTTCAAGCAATGGTGTCAACCCTGCGCCTTTATCCTTCATCAGCCTCTCCCGTCTCTCCCCTTGCCTTGCCACTCTGCATTAGTTTTTCAGAATTTTCACATTATCTTTATTCAGTTATTTTTCTATATTAACTTTAATAGCAAAAATAAATCTGGTATTTTAGTTGGAGTAGGTCTCGGGGAAGCACAGGGGGGAGGTGCCCAAGGTGGAACCCAGGCTGGGCCTTGCACATGCTGAGAAGGTGGTCCACCACTGAACTGTACTCCAGCCCCTTGAAGTGTGTCTTAAAGTTGATTGTATTAGCAGAAAAATGAACTGTTCGACAAAGTGAGCCTTTCAGGAGACAAATGCCATTGAAAAGTTAGTTGTTAAGTTTGAGAGTAGAAGGCACTTCACCCCACACCTCACAGGACTGCAGGAGGCAACACCCAAGGCTGGTCTCAGAACTAGTGGGCTGAGGCTTTTACTGCAGGAAGAAAGGTAAAGGATAGGCTCCAGGTGGTGTGGGGCTGTCTCTATCCACTTGTGGCCCTGGGGTAAGGCAAGAGAGTAGTGGCCCAGAAAGTGAGAACCTGATAAAGAGGGAGGCTGGGGTTTTTGTGGGGTTTTTGTTTGTTTGTTTGTGGGTCTGGAAGCTTTAGTTTGCATATGAAAAGCAAGAATTACAAAAAAGAAAAAGACCTGGTTAATAGTATTGACTAAATAACCATGAGATGGATAATTGGAGAACTAGATCTTAAGATATTATTTCTAGTCAAGAATAAAGCTTCTT